GCTGAGGGAGCGCCGCACTGTCGGAGGGTCAGTGCTGAGGGAGTGGGCACTGTCGGATATTCCAGTTTACAGGTGAAATGGTAAGTGAAGCTCCCTGTGGGTTTTTGGGATGGATGCTGACAGTTGTATGGCCACCATCTCGAACAGGAGCAGGGGCCGTCTCTCCCAGGGGTGTACTCAACATTTATTCCTCGATGAATTAGACTGAGACAGATGTCCTGGACATGATCACATTGTGTTTGTGGGAACTTGCTGTGTTTCGCTTCCTCCTGTACTGGGCCTGAATTTTGTTCACGTTGTTCGTGTAAAGTACTATGTGATCCTGTGGTTCTGAAAGGCACTACAGAAATGACAGCCCCATGTTGTTTGTCCATTGTTCCTGGCACTAACAGATTGTGTTGTGTTGAACAGGTGACCTCCAGGCCTTGAAGAGCACAAAGTTCGTGTTAAAGGAAGGTGTTTCCTACAAAGTGAAAATCCACTTCAAAGTCAGTCTCACCTTCTGACAGTTTCTTTTTCTCTTCGACATAATGTTGATTTGATAAGTCATCATGACACAAACATGTACTGCATTCTGTTCTGGTCTTCCTGCTTTAGGCAGGGTATTGTGAAACTTGAACTGGTGTAGAAAGTATTTACGAGGATGTTGCTGGGACTGGAGGGTTTGAGCTATAGGGGGAGGCTGAATAGACTGGGGCTATTTTCCCTGGAGGCTGAGGTGTGACTTTATAGAAGTTTATAAAATCATGGATGAATAGGCAAAGTATTTTCCCCAGGGTGAGGCAGTCCAAAACCACAGGGACAACAAGGTGCAGGGCTGGATGAACACAGCAGGCCAAGCAGCATCATAGGAGCAGAGAGGCTGACGTTTCGGGCCTAGACCCTTCATCAGAAAAGGGGGAGGGGAAGGGGGTTTTGAAATAAATAGGGAGAGAGTGGGAGGCGGATAGAAGAGGGATAGAGGAGAGGATAGGTGGAGAGGAAACAAACAGGTCGAAGAGGCGGGGATGGAGCCAGTAAAGGTGAGTGTAGGTAGGGAGTTAGGAAGGGGATAGGTCAGTCCAGGGAGGACGGACAGGTCAAGGGGGCGGGATGAGGTTGGTCGGTAGGAGATGGAGGTGCGGCTTGAGGTGGGAGGAGGGGATAGGTGGGAGGAAGAACAGGTTAGGGAGGCAGGGACGAGCTGGACTGGGTTTGGGATGCGGTGGGGGGAGGGGAGATTTTGAAACTTGTGAAATCCACATTGATACCATTGGGCTGCAGGGTTCCCATGCGGAATATGAGTTGCTGTTCCTGCAACCTTCGGGTGGCATCGTTGTGGCACTGCAGGAGGCCCAGGATGGACATGTCGTCTGAGGAATGGGAGGGGGAGTTGAAATGGTTCGCGACTGGGAGGTGCAGTTGTTTGTTGCGAACCGAGCGTAGGTGTTCTGCAAAGCGGTCCCCGAGTCTCCGCTTGGTTTCCCCGATGTAGAGGAAGCCACACCGGGTACAGCGGATGCAGTATACCACATTGGCAGATGTGCAGGTGAACATCTGCTTGATGTGGAAAGTCTTCTTGGGGCCTGGGATGGGGGTGAGGGAGGAGGTATGGGGGCAGGTGTAGCACTTCCTGCGGTTGCAGGGAAAAGTGCCGGGTGTGGTGGAGCTGGAGGGGAGTGTGGAGCAGACAAGGGAGTCACGGAGAGAGTTGTCCCTCCGGAAAGCAGATAAAGGTGGGGAGGGAAAGACGTCTTTGGTGGTACAGGGCGCAGGTTTAAGGTAGGAGGGGAAAGATTTAAAAAGGGACCTGAGGAATAACTTTTCTATGCACAGGGTGGTGCGTGTATGGAATGAGCTGCCAGAGGAAGTGGTGGAGGCTGGTACAAGTACAACATTTAAAAGACATCTGAATGGGTACATGAATAGGAAGGGTTTACAGGGCCAAATGCCGACAAATGGAACTAGATTAATTTAGGATATGTGTTCGATACAGATGAGTTGGATTGAAGGGTCTGTTTCCATGTTAAATGACTTGATATATTTCCTCCAACTCTAACCCATTTCAGAGCCCTCGTATTTCTGTGGTTCAGCTGATGTTACCCTCTGAGTGAATCATTCAGCTGTTTTGCTCAGAGTTGGGGGCTGTACTCCACATGGACCCACGTCAGTTGTTAGTGTGAACTAGTGCACAGGTGGATGGTCTTGGGATCAATTGTTTACCCAAGGAAAGTCTGCACCTTTGTCTCTGTATCGAGAAATCCCGTTTACATCAACCCTTGCTTCATTATCTGTCAGAATATGCCAGAACTCCTGCCTCGTATCCTCTGATCTCCATTTCCAATAAACCTCTGGCTTGTCTTTGGGAAGGGATTTCTAGATTTCCATTCCCCCATTATGTGAAGAAATGTTTGCTGACATCGCCCCAGGATGCCCTGGTTCAGATTTTCAAGTTGGATCTCCCATGTTATGGGCACCACAGTTTCTACCCCACACCCCCAACCCCCACCCCCACCCACCGGAGTAACAGCCTTCTTCCAGCGAGCCTATTAAATCCTTCAATCGTTGAAGCCCCCTCAGTTAGAGCAGCCCTAACTTTTCGAAACCCAAGGCTGTACTGTTTCATGGTAACCATCCTGGTTACTCTGTAACCTGCTGTATTCCAATGTCAGTGACCTGCTCCCAAGCTGTGAAACATGTTTGTTACCATCAGTCACAGTGAGATAGTGTTCCAGTTTGTCATTGAGGATGAAACGGAGCACAGAGAGAGAAAGAGATGTAGTTACTGTTTGTAACCAATTCGACTCTCATCACATCAGTGAGAGGCAGCTATGATTAGGATTAATTTGAGTAGTTCTTAGGGCTACAGTGATCCAAGGGCCTGGGGGAGGAGCAGGAGATCGAGTTGGATGGTTAGCCACAGGCCTGTTCAATGGCTGATGAGGCTGGAAGGGCTGAATAGCCTACTCATGTTTCTCTTTTCAATGGTTTGATTTCAAGTGCCTTGGGACTATTTCATGGGGACAGTGTAGAGGGAGCTTTACTGCGTATCTAACCCCGTGCTGTCCCTGTGCTGGGAGTGTTTGATGGGGGACAGTGTAGAGGAGGATTTACTCTGTATCTAACCCTGTGCTGTTCCTGTGCTGGGAGTGTTTGATGGGGGACAGTGTAGAGGGAGCTTTACTCTGTATCTAACCCTGTGCTGTCCCTGTCCTGGGAGTGTTTGATGGGGGGGGACAGCGTAGAGGGAGCTTTACTCTGTAACTAACCCCATGCTGTCCCTGTCCTGGGAGTGATTGATGGGGGACAGTGTAGAGGGAGCTTTACTCTGTATCTAACCCCGTGCTGTCCCTGTCCTGTGAGTGATTGATGGGGGACAGTGTAGAGGAGGATTTGCTTTCAGTTTAAAAGAATTGAGGGAGATTTACTCAGTAACTAACTTGGAGCTGTAACCGTTCTGGTTATGTTTGATGCTAAAATGAATGACAGATATCCACTCCGGTCCTGAAATCTCTGTCCTGTAACTATAAGTAAAGTTTCTCTCCAACCCAATAGAAATTGTAATTGAAGAAATGAAAAGCTAATAGAAACAATCAGTTTCTGTTTTAGTAAACTCAGCAAATTCCCCAGGTTTGAATCTCATTTTATTCTGTTTACATTTTACAAACTGGGAACTAAAACCAATTCCTCTCTCCAGGTAAATAAAGACATTGTTTCTGGATTGAAATACATTGCAGTCACCTACAGGAAGGGGATAAAAGGTAAGGCTGCTGGGAACTGATGGGGACCTTTTGTCTGTCACTGGGATTCATCTGAGTGATGTTTGTAGTGGAATATTTTCCAGTTTGGTCACTGGGAGCCAGCTGATGTCGGGGGCAGCGGACTAGAAGGATTATATTTCCAAATCAGGTACGCATTTACCGATAATCTACAGGATGAGCTCAAATCCCATGGTGCCAGATTGCGAATTTGTATTCAGATTAAAAATATGAAGCTGGGTTTGGTGTAGGTCACTGATTATCATAAAATCCCTTCTGGTATCCAATAGGGAAGGAAATCCGTCCTGTCCTTACCCCATCTGGCCTACCTATCATTCCTGACACACAGCAATATGGGTGATCTCTAACCACCCTCCGATGTAACCTGGTAAACCCCTCCATCAAGCCCTTCTGTCAGTGAATGCCCCCTCACCATCACTGCCTCTGAGGAATGTAGAGGTATAAAGCACGGGGTCCTGTGAGGGTCACCTCACAAACATGCTTTTGATTGCAATCGGGGGAGGGTGTGTTGCTACAGCTCCTACCCAAGGGGAGGTGATAAATGTTCCCGAGATAGATAGCTCAGGGAAGCCGGGGAAGGTAGGAGACCCAGCTGTCACTTTCAGACAAGGTGGTCACATCACAAAACACAACCTCAATTCCATGTGCTACACCCAGGAGTCAGCGAGAGAGTTGGCTGGAATATTTTGCAGTTGATAAAGTTGCCAATGGAGCACTGAGGAAGTGTCGGAGGGTCAGTGCTGAGGGAGCGCCGCACTGTCGGAGGGTCAG